ACTTGGGCAGCTGACAGCTTTGGGTAGAATCTGTCTCCACCCTAGCTCCACTCACTGACGCCACCTTGTATGTCATCTACCTTAGAAACTGACAAAATGGTGACAATATGGAAAATTTTTCCTACTTTACAAATTTTGACAACAAAGGCTAAGGTGGGGTACTAACTCACTGACGCCACCTTGTATGTCATCTACCTTAGAAACTGACAAAATGGTAGTACCCCACCTTAGCCTTTGTTGTCAAAATTTGTAAAGTAGGAAAAATTTTCCATATTGTCACCATTTTGTCAGTTTCTAAGGTAGATGACATACAAGGTGGCGTCAGTGAGTGGAGCTAGGGTGGGAGGCCGCAGCTATAAATTCGAATCTCCTGCACCGCAAGCTGACAGAGTCTACCCAAAGCTGTAAGCTGCCCAAGTGAAAGTTTCAAGTTTCAATCACAGAGGAGAGGAGGAATACAGGAAAAGAGTTTAAAAATGGCTGGGGTGGGGGAGCTGCAGCAGCAGCAGGGAGTTGTCATGCCCAGAGTGAAACTGGGTACTCAAGGACTCGAGGTAATCTTCAAATTTAAGTTCGTAGTTTTCCAAAATAGAGTTTCTTGATTTGGACTTCAAGCAATAAACTTTGTACTTTCTTCAAATATCTGCACAATCGATGTTTGTCTCCTTGGTCATTTGAGACTTGTGCCTTTGTGTTTTAGGTCAAGCTTTCTAATTTTGTTAAGATATTAATTAAGTAAAGTACCCTTCTTTAATACCTTACCTGTTGCGATGCAATTATTTTGTAGGTCTCCAAGTTGGGATTTGGTTGTCTGGGGCTAACTGGAATTCATAACGATCCTGTCCCTGAAGAAGTTGGCATATCAATCATCAAGCATGCATTTCACAGTGGGATTACTTTCTTTGATACCTCAGATATCTATGGAGTTAATACTAATGAAGTATTAGTTGGAAAGGTATAAACTTGCTTCAACACAAGTTCTCTAAGTTAGAACAAATTCTGCTGTTGATTCTATAGTTGAAGTTATTGGATATAAGATAGAGGCTTAAAATTTCTAACTAGACCAGATGGAATCTTAATTATCTTCCCCTCAGACTCGTACTTGAGCTACTAGGAATTAATGTTTGCAGTAGTTTGCATACATTGTTGATGCTAATGTTATGTATGGATAGATTATTTGGTGAACTTCCTTTCATTTGTTATCTAGTCCTTTCAATTACCAAAACATGAAAAAATAAAGAGAAGTTCTGTAAATCATTAGTTAGTGTAAATACCGAGAAAGATCTAGTTCTCTAGAACGTTGGTTGTTGATTGTTGAAGATGATCCACTTTAGCCGGATAATAAAGTTGTTGAGTCACTTTTGGTTTAGGAGATCAAAGAATTAATATAAAGTAAGTTTATCAAGTTCTGCTGTGGTGTGTTAAATATTTTATGCTTTCTTACTTTGCTTGTGAAAGCAGTGTATGTTTTTACTGAAATCAATGTCTTTTAGGCTTTGAAGCAGCTACCCCGGGAGAAGGTTCAATTAGCTACTAAATTTGGTGCTGTGAAAGTAGATTCGAATGGTATCATAGTAAAAGGTACTCCGGAATATGTCCGTTCCTGTTGTGAGGCAAGCCTGAATCGCCTTGGCGTGGAATATATTGATCTTTATTACCAACACAGGATTGATACAACAGTACCAATAGAAGATACTGTAAGTGCTGCTCTACAAAGAATGACTTTATTCATTGCATATTGCAAAAGGCTTTACTTTCCTCCTTGGTGTATGCTCATGTTTGCTGCTGATATAATATTTTAGCTGCCTGCTTGAGGTAAACTAACCTATTATCATATATTTTTTTTTTTTCCTTAGATGGGTGAACTTAAGAAGTTGGTGGAGGAAGGAAAAATCAAGTACATTGGTTTATCTGAGGCAAGCCCTGAAACCGTTAGGAGAGCTCATGCAGTTCATCCCATTACCGCTTTGCAAATGGAGTGGTCGCTCTGGACACGTGATATTGAGGAAGAAATTGTCCCACTTTGCAGGTATCTTCCGTTCACCTCCCCCTCCTCTGACTCAATTCCCCGGAATGTGTTATACTCTATCTTAGATTCTTATTTATGGACAAACTAATTATACCATTGATTTTGTTTGGAAAAATATATGTTATGTTGTTTGAGTAGCTCTATAAGCTCATGGTATTTGAAGTCTTTCATTTTATTTCTTGATGGAAAAGCTTTGACACATGCCTTATGAATCTGCTCAAAAAGGGAACTAGGAATTGGGATAGTTCCATACAGCCCTCTTGGTTGTGGACTTTTTGCTGGCAAAGCTGTGATGGAAAGTATACCTGCAAATAGTTTAATGGTATGCAGCTAATCTTTATCTTTATGACCTTAGCATATATATGAAATCTTGTAAAGCAAAGATCATGTTAACTATTACATCCATTTTAATATTTCAGCCTTTTTATCATTTAAATGTATGCTTAATTATAACTGATGGCCATTCTTTCCTTAAGCAAATCCTTCCAAGGTTTCAAGGAGAGAACTTTGAAAAGAATAAGATCTTTTATTCACGCATAGAAAAATTGGCTGAAAAGCATGGATGCACCCCTGCACAACTTGCACTTGCTTGGGTCCTTCAT